TAATTCTATCAAATCAATTAAAAAGAAAAACACTTTAATTTGTATTAATCGAAATCACTTTCATTTTTTCATTTTTATCTCACAGATTTATAGACCATATCTTACATATTTGGATCCACAAAATTCTGGGACCACACAATTGTGGGACAAAAAAGAGGTCTCACACAACTAGCGTCCGTTGTGTGAGGTACAAAATAAAAAATTTCTCAGTCTATCACCTTCTGATAATAAACTTCGCCTACCATTTCTACAGTAGTTGTCATGAATTGGCCCATCAGCAAACAAAAAACAGAGAACTATAGATTACAGCGGGCTTGAGACGGCTGTCATAATTGTAAAACGGAAGCTTTGTAACTTGTGATTGCTTTTTAGGTTTGTGATTACTGAATTGTCTATTTACTGTCTCATAATATAAGGGTGCCTATGGACTTATTTTTCTTCACAACAACAGTAGTAAGTTCGACAAACGGCGCAACAAAATTCTATGAAGTTAGGTAGAGACAGGTTCGCTACGCATGAATCTTACCGGAACCCGTTGATAATTCTTAGCTTTGGTGACTCCTCCTTTAGAGAATGGGCTGGAATTTCATTGTTTTGTGGTATTGCCCTACGTATTTTGGAATTATGTGGGAGCTGTGAGAGGTCGTAGGAGTGAAAAGTGGGATTAAAAAGGAAAAGGTAAAAAATGAAGAGAGAATTTTGGTGCTGGCATCTCTTGGAGAGGAAGAAGTAACGCTGAATTAATATCAAATTAAACATTCGGAAATACGAAAGGAATTACTTTTGACTTTTTTCGTTGTTTAAGTGTTAATTAATTGCAATGGTTCAGTTGATATTAATTAGGAACTGAGGACTTCCTAATTATTACTCCAATTGCAAATGGTTCAGTTGTTACTCTTGAATTGAAAGAAAGAGGGGAAAATGGCAAAAAAAATGCTAAAAAAGATAAATATAATTGATTTCGTGGCTTTTAGAGAGATTAAAATTAGTCCTATCATTTCCAAAGTTCATTGAGATTTTTGTTCTTCACTCTTCCCACGTTAATTTCTTGTTGATTATTTTAGGCTATGTATAAGATTTGCTAGACAATTTTGCAAACTCATCTGCAGGAAAAACTTGGATCAGCTTCAAATACAAAAAGGCAGGAGTTTTATTAGTTTACATTATTTGCTCCTCACCAACAAGTCGCTCTTGCTTGTCCTTGCATAAAAACAAAAACGAGGAACGAGTACTACTAGACAACATGGCTAGACTAGCGCTACGCCTCATTTGGAGATATCTGGTAGGAAAAAGCAAACTTAATACAAGTTCTAATTAAGCAGCAGCAACTCTCTCTGATGAGCGAGCTCTTCCTGAGGAACGGAAAATGAGAGTTTCCTCCCTGTTGAACTTGAGCCTCCTGGCCTCATCCCTGGAAATCTGGTATGAATTGGCGATCACATCCACGGGCAATCCTCGGATAGCAGAAGTACGGCCGCTCAGAGTGTTGATCATGGCATTGTCATTGGTGTTGAATTCTACCCACTCGCACCCTTCGGTCTCGGCGTGTTTTACCACAGCATAGTTCTGTGGCACCACAACAACCTGTCCCTGTCGGACCCTGTCATCTAGAACTGCTTGTCCTCTGTGATCCACAATCTGAATCCTTGATTCTCCCCTTGTTATGTAGATCACCTTGTGTGCATTGGTGACCCAGTGTGGTGCCATGATTGAATCCTGCCCCATTAAATTGAAGTAGTAATCAGTCTACGTATTTATATTTAATTTGAAGAACTACTTAAATTTTAAACCCAGTAACTCAAATGTTCAGTGAATTCTGAGACTTACTCTGTGGAGAACTCCCCTGGCAGCGCTGAGACGGAGGAAGCTGAGGATGGGAAGAGTGAGGCTGTTAACGGTGGTGAAGCGTCCAGCATTTGGGTTGTAGATATCAGCACGTGAGGGATTGTCAATGTTCTGCCTGACTTTAGCGGAGCAGATGGTTTCCTCAATTCCGTTCATGCGAGGACCATATTGTCCTTGCTCTTGTCTCTCCTCGCGCTCCTCTTGTTCCTGTGAGAATGGTGGCCTCACAACTCTGAGTCCTTGCTGAATGTTAACAATGTGTCCTCTTTGGTCGTCCTGTCCTTGAAGTCTCCTTGCTATTTCCCTGTCTACGCCAAATGCCTCGGCCAAGACCTCTACGTCAAAGCCATTGAAGACATTTCCAGATTCGAATGGTTCCCTGCGCAAGCTTTTGCCACCGTATTGTCCCTGTTGTTGCTGTCCTTGTTGTGGGTTTCCAGCTATGAAGAATCTCTGCAAATAACGGAAACAAGATTTGTTATTTATTAACCAACACTATGGTTATAGCTATAGGAATTTTTTTTAGTATGTTGGCTGAACCTTTCTAGTTTCTAACGTACCCTTGAAAATTGACCAAGTTGGTTGGCATTGTTACTGCTGTCTTCTAAACAAACAAGAACAAGCTCCTCATTTCCTTCGTTATAGGCCCAGTGAGCAGCTCCAGCAGGGAAGGCAATAATGTCACCCTGTCTGAACTGTCCAATCCTCTGATGGCGATCTTGGAATCTTGAACCGGCACCCCTTTCACCTTGCTGCATTTGCTGGGACGACTGGAAAGTTTCGGGGCATCCAGATTGCATGATGCCATAAAATCCTCGACCTGAACATTACCCATATTACACGAATGTTAATCAGTTAATACTAATAGTATAAATTACCAAATGAGAAATTCAATTAAAAGATAATGTATGTACTTACCTCGTTCAACATAGGCAAGTAGGGGAGTGTTGACATAAGAAGGCAAGAGCATGCCTCTAGACTGGATAACGTGGCGAATTAGGGAGACGCCAGCACATTGGAACTGCTGGTTATTTTGGTCCCACAACTCGGTGACTCCAGCTTCGGCTTGAATCCGGGTGGTGGGTTCCTGAGGGCTAAGTCTATTGAGTTGGCATTCGCCTTGCTGCTGTTGGTATCTCTGCTGAGCAAAGGCACCGTGCAACACCAGAAGGAAACTCAAGGAGAAAGAGAGCCAGCTAGAAGCCATGATTATTATTGTTGTGTAGAGAAGATATTAAAGTATTAATGCTGATGGGAAGTGGCGAGTGGGAATTGATGGTATTTATAGGAGGGAGAGGTACGTAAGGGATTGACACATAGCAGAATATGTAGAGAAAAGCTCTGCCATTTTGCACTTTGCATGGCTATCAAAGCATGCTGCTTTACACCTAATAAGTCTGCCTCATGCAACCAGAGTTTAGGTGGCTTCTTCCTTCTAAGAACAAAACAAATAGGAGTTCTGTTTTAGAGTGATTTTGTTTTAATCTGAGTTGTTTTATCCAGTGAGTGCGAAATCCATAAACATCAATAACGAGGTAACTTGACTTTCACCCTGTTGGGTAAAATCTGTACATCATTAGAGACTTTTACCTAGTTTATATAAGTATGATTCAAGTTTAATGATGGAGCAAAGAATTTTGCTTTGTTGATGATGAGCTCAAACTATAATATACTATTTTTCAAGATACGAATTATGCTTGCTATGACAATTACATGTGGGACTGTTACTGCATGTCAATATAACCTTCTAGTATAAAAGGATACACAGGTTAAGTTGGTGCAGTTGAACAATTTTACCCTCAATTCCTTTCTTTATTTTCATTTTCCAAATTTCTTGTCTTCTTTTGGTTTCTTATATTTCCTTAGTTTTTACTTTAGCATTTAACTACTGATATTGTATGATGAATTATGTATCAGTTTATTAACTTGTTAAAACTTAGAAATAAATGATGCTAGAGAATCATATTTAAATTGTGAATTATATTTTTACGTAAATTCTCTTTTAAATAGAAATCATATTAAATAAAAGGAGTATTTTAAGTAAAATATCAAATTATTATATTGAAATTCTTTCAAGATTTATTACTCCTTAAGAGATACATATAAGATTTCATATTGAATACATTACTTTTGATGTTTGAGTTGTAACGACGTTGCAACTAATTTGCATATTATGATATATGTCATACTTCTTGTATATTCATAGTCGAACTATAATTTATAAATATTTTAAATAGATTATTTATTATAATTTTGTGATTTTGATGTAATTTTTATAATTATTTTTTATTTTGTACTATCTTAAAATTCTTGAAATTAGTAAAATTTAAAGATCCGTGGGACTTACGCCCCATGTCTCAGGGCTTACGCAACGCCTCGCCTCTCGCCCCGCCTTTTAAAACATTGGATAAACATTAAGCTCTTTTATAATATATTGAACTCCATTACTCTTTTGCTTACAATATTACAAAGAAGTACTTATAGGTGTCCAAGACTAAATTTAGAAATACTTTAACCTAGGAAATTCAAAAGATTATTCTAGATTTTATTATAAATTTATCTACCTAAAGAATGCAAAATGTATTTATAGAAAATTAATTATCCAAACTATCCAATAAGGCTCCTAAACAATTCAAAATTATATTTCCAACATATATAACTAAATTCATGCTAGTAAGCATTATTAAGGGTCAAATAGAGTTGACTGACAATAATTTTACTGAGATGGGTTTTGCTCCTGAAGATTTGTCAGACTAAAAATGGTATTGGCTAGTTGGTTTGCTTTTTAATGTTCAGCCCACATTTTAAAATGTATTTGAAAAATAATCAAATTGTTAATGAAAAGCTATCATCTATGGAATACCAGATATAACACACCTCAAATACCAAATACCAAATTGCTTTAGCTTATTCGAATTCATCAGAATAGAATTTAATGATTGAGTCGATCAACTATTGCAGAGACGGTATGATTTTTGTTAAACTTTACCAATTTCTATCTATGTATTGAGTTTGAGTTAGAGATATGTCATTATAGTTTTTTTTTTTTTTTTAAAGTATTCCTATTACATAAAGGGATTCAATAATTCCGAACTTTTATTTCTTGTTGATTATTGTTGGCTAAGTAAGATTTGCACGGAAAATCTTGGATCACATTAAGAAGCAAAAAGGCAGGAGCTTTATTAGTTACATTATTATTTGCTCCTAATTACTAGTCGCTCTCTATTGTCTTTGCCTAAAAACAAAGACGAGAAACGAGTTCTACTAGACATGGCTACATGATATTCATTTTAGATGGACCTTCGCTGAGGAGATAGAAGGAAGCTTTCTCCACCCCTGTTCATCTTCAATCGCTGTGCTTCATTTGGAGAAATCTGGTAGGCATTGGTGAGGACCTCAACAGGCATTGCTCTAATCACTGATGTGTAACCTGCAAGCTGGCTGTTCATTGGTTCACTGCTTGTCCTCCACACTACAAATTCAAGTCCATTCTGTCCTGCTCTCACTGTGGAAGCGAAGTACTGAGGAACCACAAACATCTCTCCCTGGTTCACTCTGTCGTTCATCACTTGTTGTCCGCTGTGGTCTACTACTTGCACTTGTGCCTCTCCTCTTTGCACGTACACCACGCAGTGGCTGTTCACTGACCAATGTGGGGTCAACAATGCATTCTACATCCACCAATTTTAATCAATTACTAATAGAGGTTTTTTCAGTTTAATCAACTTGAGAAAATTAAACAAAGATTTACCGGATAGAGGGTGCCTCTAGAGGCACTCATGTCCATGTATTTAAGGATGGGAAGTTTTTGGCGATTGACATGGTTAATTTTTCCAGCTTGCCTGGAGAAGATATCAGCTTGTGTTCTGTGTTCAAGGTTGGTGCGGATTTTCATTGTGCAAATGTTTTCTTCCAAGCCATTTCCGGTTGCTTCCTCCCACCATTGCTGTCCTCGTCCTGGTTGCCCTTGCTCTTGTTCGAATTCTCCTTCTTCTTCGTCGGGCCTAATCATTCTCATTCCTTCCCTCACATTCACAATTAGTCCACGTTCGCTCTGCTCTTCTTGCATCCTCCTTACAATTTCGGCTGGGATGTTGAAGGCCTCGGCCATCAATTCTGTGTCGAAAGCACGGAAAATGTTCTGGAACCTCTGCCTGCTCTGTAGTCTTTGGCCTGCTTGAGTTTGTTGCCTTCCACTTTCTGGTACTCCACCAGCCAAGTAGAATGCCTGCAGTCCAAAGACATAGCCAACCAATATATACATGAATTATGAAATTGCATGAACAAGAAGTCATCAAATTGTAGAAACTAATGAATTTTACCCTCAAGTTCTGATCAAGCTGGTTGGACCGGTGGTTGAGGTCGTTGATTGAGACGGCAACGAGCTCTTCCTCACCATCATTATAACACCAATGAGCAGCGCCAGCTGGAAGTGCCACGACATCTCCTTGACGAATGCGGTGGACCTTCTGGTGTTGGTCACTTCTGCGGCCTTGGCCCCTCTCTTCCCTTGGCTCTCGGCCAGCCTGGAAGGTTTGGGACTGAGACTGGAAAGTCTCAGCACAGCCAGGGTAAGTAATGCCAATCAATCCCTGGCCACGCTCAATGTAAACCAAGCGAGGCATGGGATGGAAATTAGGCAGAGAAAGGGAGTTGCGGCGGATAACACTCCTCATGGGAGCAACTCCAGCGCACTGGAATTGCTCCTCGTTCTCGTCCCACAGCTCAGTGATGCCGCCCTCTGACTCAATTCGGTTAGTGGGCTGGCTAGCAGTGAGCCTTGTTAAACGGCATTGTTGAGCTTCAGTGAGACGAGTGCCTCTCTGACCCTCCTGACGGCCTTGCTGGCCCTGATAATCTCGAACTGCATTTGTTGCGGACAAGAGAAAAGCAGAGAGGAGTATAGCTAAAAGGAGTTTAGTGGTGACCGCCATGGTTAATTAGGATTGATTTTTTAACTACAAAGATTGGGATGAGATTTGGAGAAACTGAGGCCTCCTTCTTATAGTGTTGGAGGGGAACAAGTACGAAGGCCGTGTGGCATTAATGAAGTCTGTTTCCTTTTGCATGGTGAAGGTGTCTTCATTTCTGCCCAAGAACGACACCTTGCAATGGTTGTTCCAAGGAATCTAAGATGTGTTGGTTTGCATGAAACTATACGTGTGGAAGTTTGCAGCTGCTTTGTTTTACATCTTCTGCCTTTGCACCTACCACTTGTCTAAGCTCTTCTGTTTCGCTTAATTTTTTTGTTTTTTGACAGAATTAGCACTGAGGTTGTTTGAACTCTCAAAATACTTGGCGAGCAGCAATATTTGGGTTGGGCTCCAATATTGGATCGACAAAACAAACCCTCAAATTTGGGCCTCAACTCGTTGAGTAGGGGCTTTGTTAAACAATATCCAGTAGTAGCTTCACCAGGTTAGCTGTTCTATCCTCTTTTTTTTCTTTTGACGGTCAACAGAGATGTAAAGGAAATAGCCTTGAGCCAATATATTTAAAAAATAGATAAGCTTGGAAGAAGCACCTGCATGATAGAGTTATCATTATTTTCAAAGACTAGTATAGATCTCCTCCTTTTTTTTTCTCTTGTATTCTATAGAGATTACACTTAGGGGTTGTAGGCATATAAATTTTCTTAAAATTAAATTCATAAATTAATTTCGACTATATTTTAAGTTCAAGATACATTGGTTCAAATAAATATTATGGGCTAATATAATTGAATTAATTATATAAGTCCAATATATATGAATTAAATAAATAAGTCTTAATCCATTGGGCTAGCCCATTTAATTGTGCTAAAGTGATGAGCCTACTTCATTAAGCCCAAGATTTCATCTTTCTAGAGGCCTAAATTGATGCTCACGTGTCAAATGACGTGGCACGCCAAGTCAAACGGAAGTGCCAATAGGATCATGTCACGTGTCAAAATGACAAGACATGCCAAGTCACATTAAAATACTAATGAAATCGCGCCACGTATGCAAGTAACATTTTCTGGCCAATCAAATGCGGCATTGTCACACTTCGATTTGATTGGTCGGAAAGAGTTTGTTCTTATCATAACTCTTCCCTCCCACAACTATAAATAGGGGTCTTCATAACCCAGAAAAGAGACCAAAAGTTATAACAAGAAGCAAGAGAGAGCTCGTGGATCAAACCCGCAAATTTCTCTACAAGTTTCAAGTTCAAGCAATCAAGTTCAAGTTAAAGAAATTAAGTTCAAGCTCAAGAACGAAAAACAAATCAAGATTCAAGGAGTACGAGTTCAAATCAAACTTCGTGCTAGTTGCATTCAAGATCATCATTCGTGACAACAAATATAGATTCAAGATCAAGCTCAAGGGCGCCCTTGAATTTATTTACTATTGGAAAGAAGAATCAGAGGATTCATAGAGATTGTACATTCAAATATTTAAAATCAAATACTACTATTGTTGCAATATTTTTCGGTCTCGATTATTTTCTCGACGCACTTTATTGTCTACGGGGGTGTCAACCGATTTCGGATTATTAGGTTTCTTCTAATAAAGTTATAGGGTTTTATATAAATTTATAATTATACCAAATAATAGAGCATGTCTTTAATTTATAAAAATAAATCAAGAAAATATCAAACTATATCGATAAATTTATATGTGAAATATATTTTATATATTAAGTAACAAAGCATCATTTTTTTCCTAAGGCATTTGGATTATGAAAACAGCTACAAGACAACATGTAATTAACATCTAAAGTTCTAACTCCTAAACATATTCTCGTATTGCTATTGAAATTAAATTAGTTTCAGCATTTTGAATAGTAAGCGACAAAGTAGCAAACAATAAGGATATCTTTCTTCTCGTATGATTTAGATTTCATTTGTTGAATACTTAATCTTCTGATTTTATTCTTGAGTTGCAACTTGATTAAAATCTTTTCACTCAGTTGATTTACATTCCTCTCATCTTTGCTTAATTTGTTTTACGCTGCTATAAAATAGTGAGATGACTCTATTGTGGCTACCTTTCACGTTCCCTTAATTCATCATCTCTTAAAAAAATGCCTAGAGAGTTTTACCAATTTCCTACGCAAATGCGCATGTTATTGAGTTTTAACTCCTAGTAGCGACTATAATATGATATTTAAAAAAAAATACCAAAAGTTAATCGAACCATACTAATACCGAAGTGAAACAAGATGATTAGTACGGTTTCAAAAGTCTAATTTTGACTATAAAAAAAATAATATTCGAAATATTGGTAGGGTGTACAAGTTCTATAAAATATTAAAAAGAAACAATATTCGCAATCTTTACTTCTAAAATCATTCTTAAAAGCTCACTAGCTTCTTCAACTTCTCTAAGTTCACCATTTTCTCATTTTGTTCTTACTACAGCATCAACTCCTTCCTTATCTTAAATTTCTCAACCACAATGGCTAAAACATCTAAAACTATTTCTCATAAAGAAAAAGCTTCCTCATCATCGCGGTCGGCCAGAGGTAGAACGGTGGTGCCACCTCGTATCGAGGAGTGCATTCCCGGACCATGTGAGCTAACTTCTGATTTTAAAATCGATAAACCTGCTTCGACACCAGGCCGTTGCGAGCCCATGTCTCGATACATCTGTTTGATCACTGAAGATGAACTTGAGCAGGTGAAAAAGGATTGCAATTGGGAAAATAAGGACATTGTAATCCCTTCCTCCGAAGAGAACATCACCACCCATAAGGTAGGGTACTTAAGCGTTTATACCTACCCTTTCTTATTGGGTACCGTAGATCCAGCTCTGGGTTCCATAGACCTAGTGATTCTTGATTTTTTCCAACAATACCAGGTGACGCTTGGCCAGATCTACCCTTCCTTCTGGCGCATCGTCAATCTGATCAGATATTTCTCGGGCCTGGTTGAGGGGATGCCTTTTACCCTCGACCACCTGATCAGGCTATACCGCCCTCGCCTTTATCGAGGTGGTCTGATAAAGCTTCAGCGCCGATCCTTGAATTCCTTTTTTTCCAGCATTGATGAGGGCAAGGACAGAGGATGGATGAGCCGGTTTGTCCGAGTCAGGACCTCCGATCTGATTCCTGTTGAGATGATGTCATTCCCTGAGGAGTGGAACATGAAACGTAAGTACAAATTTATCGATGGTGGTCAATTTCCTGCTTTCCCTATTTTTTCTCAATTTAATTCTTTTCTGATGATGCAGCTATTGCTTGGTTTCCTGGTGCGGTCCTCGACCTCGCAGGCTAGGTCCGGCAACTGGCCTCTACTTCTTCATACGTGGAATGCAGCTGGCATGATTTGGCCAATGGTCGATGGAAAGCTAAAACCCATGGTGAGTTCTCTTGTTTACATATTGATGTTTCTTAATGGAATGCTCACTTTACCATTATGCAGGCCTCGGAGACGCCGTTGGTATGCGGCCGCCCCCGTCCGATGAAGAAGAAATCCCAAAATCGAACAAAGAGAAGAAGAGGAAGAGGGGGTCGCCTGCAAGTTCCCCGAAGCCAAAGAAAAGCAGAGCTATAAAGCCTAGGGTCGATTATGCGGCCCTATCTTCGGAGGCAGCCCAACACCTTCGGGGTGAAGATAAGGAGGGAGAGGATGACGACTGCCTGTTGGTATCTCGGAAAAGAGGAAGCACTGACGCTTCAAAAGCCGATGAGCCGATGGTGGCCAACGCGGTTCAATCTCGAACCGAAGAAATTTAGGAGGGGAGCTCGAGCAGAGTCCCTGAGTCATCAGGTGGTAAAAATACGTCTCATCTCGGGCGACATTTAGTGGGAGAGCCCGAAGAGCCTAATTCCGAGACCCTCCAAAGAGAAGATAATATCCCAAGTGAATCACTTGGGATAATTAATGTAGATGACTCGCCGCCGGGCCCAGTGTTCTTCGAAGGGCAATTCCGAGATGCCCGAGCCATGAGGACTCCTGATGTGGGAACGACCCATGAAGGGAATGATATTTTTCGTGAGTGCCTTGCGGGGATCGAAGATGGTCCCGATCCCGACGCCTCATTTATCTTCGATGAGGCCCAGAGGCTTCTCAAACAAGTAAGCTTTTGTCGTCATAATTACACTTCGAGTTTTATACTCTTTTTTCTAAGTCTGACTCTTTTTCTTTGTGTGAAGGCCGTGGCGCTTCATCGACAAGCATTTTCCAAATCTCGAGCCAAGTATGCCCGATGTGAAGCCGAACTCAAGAAGCTGGTGGAGGAGAGGGACGGCCTTATGCGCCTCTATGTACAAAAAGAGAAGGAGGTCAGAGATCTCTGAGCTGAATTGGCAAAGGCTCGTCAAGAACAGACTGAGCTTATTGAAAAGGTAATGTGGCCTTTGGGGGTCTGTTATGTCTTCATTCGATTTAGCGGTTAACACTTTAACTTTTGCAGGCCCAGCAGAAGGGCGAGTTGGTGGAGCAGCTCTGAGAAGAGCTCAAGGTAAAAGAGGCCGAGACCCTAGGGTAGAAGCAACACATGGACCGTCTCGCCTCAGAGAAGGATACACTTTGGGAACAACTAACTTCAATCGAACGCCAGCTTTAAAATGCAAGAAAGGAAAGCTTGGCCCGGAGCCGCAAAACCGAGGAGCTCGAAGCTAAATACGCCGTTGAGCTTGCGAAGGCCAAATCTGAGGCAGGGGCATTTGTGTCCTCGTACCGAGCTGACACCGAAGCTGCTAATGCTCGGGCACAAGAGATCTCCATTGCGGCTGAAGTTAAGTTATCATGTGCCCTCGACCATGCTGGCGATGGCCCCGGAGAGAAACTCTCGAGGAGTTTCACGCTCGTGCCTTTGACCTCTCAGTTGATATTGTAAAAGAAAAAACTTTGGAGAAAGAGGTTGCCGCTTTGCTCTCTAATGATGAGGATTCCGCTAGCGGATCTGAGAGCGGAGGAGATGAGGATGAAGTCCCCGAGGAGGAGTTTCCCGAAGACGCGACTCCCAAGGATGTGGCTTCCAAAGATGCGATTCCCGAGGATGTGGCCCCGAAGTAGAATAGG